TAGAGACAGAGAGACAGAGAGAGATATGAGCACCCTCCACAGAGTCTGATCATACTGGGATCTTCTTCCTCCAGTTCTCCTGCTTGTTGGATCCAGGACACTCATGAGTGTGCCTGGAGTGTATCAAGCTGATTGGGCCAGAGATTCAAACCCTGGTCATCATTTAGGATTTGGCTTTTCTTGCGTAGTACATTATCACTGAGGTTTTTGTTGTTGTTGTTATAGAGCCAGGCGGGAAATCAATGGAGAATACTAACGGGCTTAAGCAAAACCTCTTGAAGGCATGCTTCTCACACAAGAACTGTCTATCCCCCAACTTAGTTTCAGTTGTGAACTGATTACCAAGGTGCCATGGTGAGAGATATCCCAGAAATACCAAAAGGAATGTCAATAGATAGACCCTAAAGCATGCTCAATAGATAGAACATCCTTAGACTGAGCTTCGTGGCTCCAGGTGTCATTAACTACCAGGCTCCCCACCCAGATTCAGGGTCTGGCCTGTGCCTGTTTTGCTGCTGTGGTTGGTGCCTTTGCCTTACCATAGGAACCACAAGACAGCAGATGAAGACGGAGTAGGTAGCAGTAGGACTTACAGACAACTAGGCAGGGCCTGGTGTTTGTCAAAGAAAAGACCAGAAGAAATAAATGAAAACCATATATATTACAATGTCAAATCTTCTCTCAGCTCATTTTTTTGATCAAATAAAAACTGAAATGAAATCCACATACTATAAAATGACAGAAATAACTACCACTGCAGAGAAGAAATAGACAACGGAAAAAAAAACAGTTAAAGGAGATGAGTGAGGAACAGATGGCACTGGGAAGGACGTTCTGATGATACAGGAAAGGGAGTCTGATTTTGTGGTTTGGGACAGGGCAGTGTTCTGGAGCAGCCTTGGCGGTCCTCAAGATGCAATATGTCTTGGCGGCCTGTAGGGGTCAGAGGCGCTCCATGTCATAGAGAGCATTCTGCTTTACCCTCCAAACCTACAAATGCTGCTAACAGAACGCCAGCTTTAACTCTGTCAGAGTTTACCCTTCTCTCCAGGAAAGAGCAGAACCATGAAAATGGGAAGTGGTCCATCTTCAACACTTTACCACAAAGGCCCGTTTTTGACTTCAAGACAATTTGCGTATTTTACATTTTCTTTTACTTGTTCTGTTCCCATCTCACATATCTGCAGCAAGAACTCCTTTGTTGACCATATAGATACAGGCAGTCATCTCTCTGGGATAAGCATGTGAACGCCTGAAATCAAGGAATCTAGTCTATCTTCAGAGTCTTTATGTCCCTAGTATACATATCTCTTTTTAGGCAGTTTGGAGACAATGCTTCAGTGGGCGGGTGGGACTAACTGGCTCGTAGGTTGACATGGGCTTCTAGGCTGGAGGCAGCTCATACAAACTGGTGGAAACCCATTGTATGCATTTCTTCCTACCCCAGTTAAGGGACGTCATGCTGGTCCCTTGACATTGGCTATCATACAAGTATTTATATCACAAAAAAGGGCATTCGTTGCAAACGAGGAGGGCCTTTTCCCTTGGAAAGCTGGTCCTTAAACACCTCTGAGCACACCAGTGATTCCAGAGTGGGTTCATGAGTAAACACTTGGCGCCACCCAGGCTCAGGCCAGAGAACTAGGGACTAGAAAGGGAGGACTGCATCTTATTAGCTAAGAGGAACTCCTCCAGAAAATGTAGTTGACAACCACATAAAGATGTCTTTCCTTGCAAGGCAAATAGAAATTGAATAAAAATTTCTTGCATAATTTCTAACAGTTAAATTGCAATGCTAAGTGGCCCATGAAACTATGCACCCTCTTTCTGATTCTAATTTTGAGCATTGGGGGAAGTGCGGGGCCTCCTTGGGGAGTTGATAATGTGTCAGTTTCTAAAAAAGCAAAAACCCGAAAGAAAACAGTGACAACCTTTCTCTCTATTGGCATACCAGGAACCATTGGAAAATATGTTTGCTAACATCATGTACTTGTACACGGATTTAAATCCATATAGTAAGCTTCTTTTAGAGAAAACACTCTTT